ATTGGTCGTGAAGACTCGGGGCTTATACAGGCGAATTCAGCCAAATGAGTCAAGCCCATTTCGACAAGCTAGAAGCTGGCATATCCATGATGACGCGTCAAAAAGATGATATTGCAGCGGATTGGTGCTCTCGATCCCCGAATAGAAGAAATAAAAAAGGTAAAATTGTCGAGAATCCAGCAAGCACCAATTGCCCAGGAATAAACCGCTCAAAAATCGAGGGGGGACCCTCACGTTCGAATGCCCTTAGCGGCGACCGTGGCTGCGGACGGCGCTTCCCTGCATCTGCTCCAGTTCGGTCTCCAACTGCTTGATCTGGGCGTGGGTCTGCTCGAGATCCTTGTTGAGGCGGTCGCGCTCGGCAATGAGCTTCTGCTCCCACTGGCGGAAACGCTGCTCCTCGATCTTGACCTGCTCGGTGAAGCGCTTGCGGAGCGCCTCCTCCTCCTCCTTGAACTTGGGGTTGTCGAGCTTCCTGGGGCGGGCCTCGCCAAACTTGCGGGTCTCCATTTGCTGGGCGCGGTAGGCCTCGTAGTGAAGCTCTTCGGTGGTGTGGATGAGGTCGAGCATGTGGGTGCGGATGAGAATCGATCGCAGCTTCTTGAAGTCGCAGTGGTCCTCGTTCTCGACCTCGGCAACACCCCAAGAGTACTGGCGGCCCTTGACGATGCGTCCGTCGCCGGTCTTGACATCCTTCTCGGAACCGATGACAGCGAAGGGCATCGCAGCCATCAAGCTGCGGGCGTGTTGAGCAGCGGGCTCGTCGTCCTCCTCGACGGGGGGCTGATAGATCTTGATGCTCTGGGCCTCGATGACGGCGCGAATCTAAAGCACCCAACGATTAGTCTGTTTGTTTTCAACAAACAAGTCAATTCAAACTTACGCGAGCCTTGAACTTGGCCAAGTCCGCAGGGCTAAGGGTATCAGCCTTGGCGATGACCGGGATCAGGTTCACTCTCGAGCAGAGTCTCTTCATAACCTCAATGTCGAGGGGCTTCAGGGTGTGGCCGGTAGGGCGGATGAAATACAGGCAGGTGTGGACACGGAGGTCGATCTTGTCCTGACGGCGGGGCTGCTGCTCCTGAAGCATGTAGGACTCGTGCTGGTCGTCGAGGAACTCGATGATGGGCATCCAGGAATCGCGGTTGTTGACATAGTCGCCGAAGCCGGGGGTATCGATAACGGTCAGGCGGACTGTAAGCCGTGTTAATCGTATGATCCACATCACAGGAATTGGCAAGCAAGAGCCATACCCTTGAAGAACTTCTCCTCCAACTCAGCCTTGGTGATCTCGATCTCGACGGTCTTGTCGACCTGCTTCTGGTGACGGCGCTTGTGGTCGGCATAGTTCTTGATGGTCGTGGAGAACAGGGTGTTGATGAAGGTGGTCTTTCCGAGGCCAGACTCGCCAGCAACCTAGTGACTTTGTCAGTATTCCCCGGCATGGCATATCATCATGTGTTCCGTCACACGAGAATGGACATACCATAATAGTGAAGGCAGCACCTCGCTTGGCAACAATCTTGTGTCGCTGGTTAGGGAGGTTGGCGATACCAATCGGTGAAGCGCTCTCGGCGGCGGCGGGGGCCATTTTGGGCGGTATTTGACGATTAAACAACTCTAAACTCGTTTCTGATGCCTGTGAGAGGGTCGTTGGCCGCAAGAAACGCAATTGAACGCGCGACTGTTTTCGTGATGTGGTTGCGGTGTGGGCGTGTTGACGGTTGAGTTGGGGAGGTTTGAGCTTGTGCTTCAGGGGAATCAAAAGGTGCCACCTCCAAATTTCCCTTTCGGCCTTCTGGGGTTGGGTGGTGCACACTCATTGGGCCCTTCGCAGGGGACTAATTAGGACCCCCTTTTCCTGCCAATCATTCCCCTCTTTCCCCCTGGCACTTTCACCAACAGTTTGTCTAGCCCGGAGGGGATTAGACCGCGGAAATTAGGATGAATGATTCCCCGACCCCGCCAAAAAGTTGCAGAGCGCGCCTTCAATCGATAAGAAAATCTTGGGTTGGAGAGAATTTCTGTAGCTTCAAGGTGAGGAAATGGGTGCTAATTGACAATGAAGACCGATTTCAAGGTAGGTTTTGCAGGATTTTCCTCAATTCGCACGCGATTCTGATCATTGTTTCAAATTCTAGTTTTCCAATTTGCTCGGCACGGTATACTGCCAGGGCAACCTGCTCTTCAGCCCGGATGGCACCCATTTATTCTCGCCCGTGGGGAACAGGGTTACTGTCTTCGACCTGGTGAAGTACGTCCAGCCTCGAAAGTCGGCGCAACCCAAACGATTCCCTGCTAATTCCTTGCTAGCAACAAATCACATACACTTCCCTTTGCACACCGGAAAAACATCTCGCGAATCGGCCTCACTCCTCGAGGAAACCTGCTACTGTCCATTGACGAAGATGGCCAGGCCATTTTGACCAACGTCCTCCGCCGAATTCCCATTTACCGATTTTCGTTCCGCTCTACTGTTACCGCCCTGTCCTTTTCGCCCTCAGGACGTCATTTCGTCGTCGGTCTGGGCCGCAAGATCGAGGTCTGGCATGTGCCGTCCACACCAGATGCGAATGCTGAAGGAGAGCTCGAGTTCGCGCCGTTTGTGAAACACCACACCCACACACAACACTTTGACGAGGTGCGCAGCATCGAGTGGTCCAGCGACTCGCGTTTCTTCCTCAGCACCTCCAAGGACTTGACCGCGAGAATATGGAGTCTGGATCGTGAGGAGGGGTTCGTGCCGACGGTACTTTCGGGGCACAAGCAGGCGGTGGTGGGGGCCTGGTTCTCGGAAGACCAGGAAACCATTTACACCGTCAGCAAGGACGGTGCTGTCTTCGATTGGAAGTACGTCGGAAAGCCAGTCCAGGACGAAGACGAGATGGTTGACGAGGACGAGGACGACATGCGCTGGAGAATCGTCGACCGACACTACTTCATGCAGAACAGTGCGCATGTCCGATGCGCGACCTTCCATCCCGAGTCCAATCTTCTCGTCGCCGGTTTCTCCAACGGAACATTTGGTCTGTACGAACTGCCCGACTTCAACATGATCCACACCCTCAACATTTCCCAAAACGAGATCGACTTTGTGACGATCAACAAGAGCGGAGAGTGGTTAGCCTTTGGCGCATCGAAGTTGGGGCAACTCCTGGTATGGGAATGGCAATCCGAGTCGTACATCCTGAAGCAGCAGGGCCACTTTGATTCTATGAACAACCTGGTCTACTCTCCCGATGGACAGCGCATCGTCACTATTGCCGATGACGGCAAGATCAAGGTTTGGGATACCGAATCTGGGTTCTGCATCGTTACCTTCACAGAGCACACAAGTGGTGTCACGGCTTGCGAGTTCTCGAAGAAGGGCAACGTTCTGTTCACATCCAGTCTGGACGGTTCCGTAAGAGCTTGGGATCTCATCAGATACAGAAACTTCCGCACATTCACAGCGCCGACAAGGCTGTCATGGTCATGTATGGCCGTTGACCCTAGCGGCGAGGTCGTCGCAGCTGGATCTCTGGACTCTTTTGACATCCATATCTGGTCCGTTCAAACGGGACAGCTCTTGGATCAGCTCACAGGTCACGAGGGTCCCGTGTCGGCTCTGGCCTTCACACCAAATGGCAACTCCCTTGTCAGTGGTAGCTGGGACCGCACCGCAAGAATTTGGTCTATTTTCAACAGAACACAAACGAGCGAGCCTCTGCAGCTGCAGGCCGATATCCTCGATATCGCTGTGCGCCCTGACTCTTTGCAACTGGCGATCTCAACTTTGGATGGTCAGCTGTCCTTCTGGTCCATCATGGATGCCGAGCAGGTGTCTGGACTGGATGGCCGTCGTGACGTTTCCGGTGGACGCAAGCTCACCGATCGGAGGACGGCCGCCAACGTGGCCGGCACAAAGAGCTTCAACACCATTCAGTACAGTACAGACGGAAGCTGCTTGCTTGCCGGTGGCAACAGCAAGTACATCTGCCTGTACTCTGTCCATACCATGGTTCTCCTGAAGAAGTACACAGTCAGTGTCAACCTGTCTCTATCCGGAACGCAAGAGTTCCTCAACAGCAAGCTCCTTACCGAGGCCGGTCCCGGCGGTCTGATCGACGATCAGGGTGAGGCCTCGGACCCTGAGGACAGGAGAGACGATTCCCTGCCAGGCTCCAAGCGCGGCGACCCTTCCGCGAGGAAGAGAATGCCAGAGGTCCGTGTCTCGGGCGTAGCATTCACACCCACCGGCACAGCCTTCTGCGCCGCCACTACGGAAGGCCTGCTCATCTACAGCCTCGACAACCTCATGCAGTTCGACCCCTTTGATCTCAACATGGAAATCACCCCGGCGTCCACGCTCGCCGTCCTGGAGAACGAAAAGGACTACCTCAAAGCCCTGGTCATGGCTTTCCGCCTCAACGAGGCCGGCCTCATCAAGCGCGTCTTCCTCTCGATACCGCACACGGACATCGCCCTGGTCGTCCAGGACATGCCCATCGTCTACGTCCCCAGGCTACTGCGTTTCGTCGCGGCCCAGACGGAGGAGACGCCGCACATTGAGTTCTGCCTGCTCTGGGTTAAGGCGCTGGTGGACAAGCATGGCGCCTGGCTCACGCAGCACAGGGGCAAGGTGGACGTCGAGTTGCGAATCGTGGCGAGGGCCGTCTCGAGGATGCGCGACGAGATCAGGAGGCTCGCGGACGATAACGTGTACATGGTGGATTACCTGTTGGGTCAGGCCAGCAACGAGAAGGAGACGACCGGTGTAAAAATGTTAGACTTGGCCGCGTTCGACGCCCCCGCCAAGAGTCTGGCGATCGGCGACGCGGATGAGGGCCAAAGTGATTCCGACGGAGATGAGTGGATTGGACTAGAATAAAATCATAGATGTTATTACAAATGTATACCCCCCGTTTTGTCAAGCTGCCATGGTTTTTCTACTGTTACACTCGTGTCGTCGCAATGCTATCCTTTTACAACCTTGATGCCCTCATGCTACCGTCGGCTAGTCAATCGCGAGCAGGAACATCCTAGAATCAACATCAGTACCATGGATGCTTACCAACGGTGCGTATTGTTTGCTTACCTTCCACGCCTCTTCGAAGCCCGCTGAGCGAACCCATCTCGTCTCATCATGTTCAGTGCTGTCCAATAACATATAGGTGAGGTTGCGCCACTCCTCATCCTTGATTTTGATCCAGGGTTTGTCGCCATACTTTGCTGAAAGATCCTGGCAAATACCTAGTGCTCTGACAACCTTGATCGTGTGGCCGTCATCTACAAAGTTATGAAATCTTGGAAGGAGGTCTGTGGAGTTCATCAGTCACCATCTTAAGTGCGTCGAAAGACGAGAATCTTACCAGTCGGCTTGGAGACCAAGTCCTTGCCCTCATCTTTGTCCTTTGGCCTGTATGACTTGACATCGTCCAGGCGGAGCGGCGGGCACCCGCGCGCCGCATACTGCACCAGGTCCATCCGGATCTTGTACTCCAGCATCCGCACCTTGTTCTCCGTTGAGATCCACGGCATGGAATTGAAGCTGAGGAAGATGGGCGCAGCGTTCGTGTGATGACTGTTCACAACATCAGCGTCAGACATTCTCGTCACCAGCCTCTCCCGAGACGGAAAAAAAGATCACACTCACATCAAGAAGAAATCCCACTTTGGTTCCTTACCCGGCCGTAGAGCCGCGCCGCCAGCAACACAAAAGGCATTATGAAACATCTCAGCCGTCCTCTCATCCAGCTCCTGGGGACGAACCTTAACCTTGCTTGCGATCCGAAGCATCTCCTCCGGTGCGCGCTTCAGAATCCCATCAAAGATCTTGTTTGCATCCTTCATCTGAGCAGCTTGAGCAAGCTTTCGGTCCTGGCGTATCTCCTCATTAAGATCCGAAATCGGCGGCATCCGCTCACTCGCTGCCGCCGCCCGCTTCTCCGTCTCGTCGAAAAAGTCCTTGAGCTGGTTCTTATGCACCGCAGCCTGCGCGAGCCCCTCGGCGACGATGGCGGGCTGCTCCCATTCGACACCGTACATGAGCTGGATGATGGGGTGCAGGAAGCCCGCAAACATGCGCTGGAACATGTCGTCGGCGCGCTCGTCGCCCTTGAAGATGTGCTCGTTCAGCGCCGCCTCCCAGCCCCCGAGCCTTTCGATCTCGCGCTGGAAAAAGAGGAGGAAGTCTGGGTAGTGCTTCTCCTTGCCAAGATACGATTTCGCGCGCTCCCAGTCGTGTAGCTCGTCTGCGACTGAGTCGCGTGGGGTCTGGGCTGGGCGCTGGTAGTTTGCGTTTTCCTTGTACGCTGTCTGGATGGCGTCGGGGCCTGCGCCGGTTCCGAAGAGGGCTAGGACCTGATGGGGGATCTGAAATGATATTAGTGACCAATCATGCTGTAAGTTAGGTAAAGGAGAGCTTACATGGTTGTGGAATCCTTCTTGATTGAAGAAGACATGGTGTTTCTGCGCGCAAGATTAGCACACGAGTCACTGAGATGTAAGACATGATTTGTTTCTACCTCGAGATCCTCTTGTAGTAGCTCAGACACCTTGCTCGCGGCAGCATCTTTCTGATCAAACTTCCACAGTCCCGTGTTCGTCACCGGGACATTGATCTTGTATGCCGTCGCCATGTTGATAGCTCTGATCTGGCTGTGTGGGAAAATATGGTTTCCGCTGAATGTGATGTGTTTTGAGATTCTCTTGGGAATCGTGGATGGCAATCTCATTTTACTTGGAGATGGCCCTCGCCATGACATCGTGGGAATGGTAAAGACCGTGACTGAACCTTAATATGCATCAAAGACAGGGGGTCTCGAACGTCTGCAAGACCCCGGGACCATACGCTCGCTTACAAATGAGGTACGCGCGAAAGGGCGAGCGCGAGTGGTAAAGAATCGGAGATGTTCCCATAGGATGGCTAGATGCGGGTAAGTCGGAGTGGTTCCCGGGCGGCGACCACGGGAGGGGGTCTGTGGTGCGCATCAACTAAACTCTACACAGCCATTTCCCCAGACTTTTGACGTCATCACAACTTTGGGAGGAGGATTGGGTTTAGAAGCTGATGCCACCTACCACATTCGTCTGACGATCGAGAACTGAACACCTAGTAGTGTGCTATTGTGTTAGTAAGCCGTGGTCGTATAGTCGGGAATACATCAGACAGATGACCAACAATTCCCGACAGACAAGGACGGACCGGAGAGTTGTAGACATATACCTCCGAAACCGTCCGGCGAAATCCCCACTATTCCACGGTCTTCGGTCTCCGTGACCTGCCGGCCTTCCCAGACCGTTGACCGAGACCCGAGCCCCATCTGCACTGAGCTACAAATGGCTAAGTAATGAAATCCAGATCCGTCCCAGTTGCAGGGTGGGAAGTCAAGCGGCACATTGCGCTCCGGCTGGGGTCGCTTTAGTAATACGTTTGGAATAGGTAGTGGACCCTCGCATTAGTATGTGACGGAGGGGTGGATGCGCCTTCGGTCTCGAAGCTTGAACGCGAAGGGCGATCAGATTGTAAAAGAAGTAGAAATACCTCGGCCACACGCGAAGATTTAAGCAACGTATTAAGCACTACGGCAAGTAGCCGCCCAAGGTGATTGCTGTGCGGGTACTCCAATCACCATCGGTGAGCCAGGATATCATAGGCAGACAATACGAGATAAAAACAACCGAAGTTGACATGAAATGAACACCTCGGCAAGAGCCGGGACAAGCTGCCTATATATGTAGACGACAGGTCCCTTCTGCTTTCATATTTCGGCGGTATTTGAATATCTTGCCCCCACAAACGAGAACCTCGAGACTGACTCTGTCGAGATCAGGTCAGGTAGCCTTGCTGCTTGGTCTTAGACGTGCTTCCGCCTGGAGATGGGCAGGCTAGGTACTTCAGCAAGGTGAGGCTGAGATACCTTACCTAAGGCGAAGTATGCCAAGCAAACTCGGCGGAAGGAGTAGGTGGTTTCGGTGAGACGTGGCGAATCTCCACAATCCTTAACGACTCCCGCCCACTCCCTTGACCTCCCATCGGAAAGAGCTGCGGATTCCATCCCAAAAGTCCGAGAGGGAGCAAGGGGCCGATGGGACAATCCCTACCGCCAAACCTAAGCTTAAAATGACTAACATCCAGCAGATCTAGCTGTCTTAACTTTAACCCGAGCTATTCACTTGCACGGCGGTGCATTTTGACAATAATGTCAGAGCCATCATCAAAAGTCTCGCGAAAGCATACGTACCATGGCGATCGTTCTTAGCAAGGCGTAGCATTCGTCTAGCGAGCATCGTCCCCAAGGACCAGGCGAGGATAGCATTCTCGTATGACATATGTCTTGCTTCATCCTCCCTGCCGCAGCCTCGATGGTGAAGGATTCTGCCAAGGCTCACATCTACATGCAGGCTTCACGGCCAGTGGTAGTAGCCAGTGGTCAATCATCAGGCGAAGAATATCCACCGTACGCTAAGACAGCAGGCTCTCCAGTCTGGTTGCACGAAGATATTGGTGGCGTGTCAGACCCAAGAATAGGAGTCCTGCAGACGGCGGCTGAGGCCAAGTCGCTCTGAGCCGATGGGCCCCCCATCGAAGCCACTAGGACATGTCGTTGCTTCCCTCGGACACTCTGTTTCCCATCTTTCTAGTTCAGACTTCCTAGGACATCGCGACGCTTTTTTCTTTCTTTCTTCGTCATAGAGACCAGACCGGGTGTATCCAACATCTGTCTCTACATGCGTCGTTCAACATTCTTCTTCTTCCCTTGGTTGGTGGTTTACGTGCGGTGCTGGAGTCCCTATGGAAGCTCAAGGCTGGTAGTACGCGATGATGCTCCGTTCTCATCCGATTTTCTGAGAAGAGCCTTCCCTTCAGGTATTTCGTACTTCTCTGTAAGCTCTCCGAATGTTGGCCTTTTTCCTGACTTGAATAGCGATTGTTATAGGTGACTATGTGTATATAGACGGCGGCGAGGTATCCCAACTCTATGATGGCAAAGTTGGGGCGCCCGCCGATCACCCGTCGTGGGCAGGTAAGATTGAAGTCTACTCTGAAATTGGATGAAGACAAACCATTGACATCAACTGCTATCCAGTCAACTCTACACTCTCCATCAGTCTCAAGCGTCCATGGACCAACTCCAGCGTCACGATGACATCCACTCCCAAAAATGGGCCAAAGCTCAGTAAGCAAGCCATATGGCGCGATCCATCCTCGAACGGATTTTACGTCTGGGGCGGCACGATGGCCTACTTCGAGAAACCCCCGGTAAAAGAGATATGGCACTTTGAAGTGGACGGCAACGGGGGCGGGACCTGGTCGAAGGTCCCTCCCCTGAACGCCACCGTTTTCAAACAGCTTGTGCGCTCCACAGAGGCCTCTTTTACCCAGAGCAAGGAAGTGGGATACTACTTTGGCGGGTTCGCGGGCTCCCGAACTGATACCTTCATCACTGATGAGGGCAAGGGACTAGCCATTCCCGGGCTAATATCATTCAACATGACTTCTGGAGAAATAAGAAACACGTCCTCGACAATGTTCGGCCAATATGGGACCCTGATAGAGGGTTCAGCACAGTTTGTACCGTTTGGATCTAGCGGACTGGTGCTCTTCTTAGGCGGAGGACAATCACTAATCTCCTTGTCGGATTGGAAGGAGATGGAATTTGACAAGGTCACCTTGTATGATCCCAGCAGTCAGTGGGCTCTCTTGGCGGCACGTCCTTCAACAAAGTACTGACACTTACTCAGCCGACAAATGGTATACTCAACAAACCACAGGCTCCAGACCGTCAACACGAGGGAAATTCTGTGCCGTGGGTGCTTCCAGTACCAATAACACGTACGAGATGTAAGAGAAACATCTCTCATCATCTCGTTTAATCGTCATAAGTGGCAGAAACTAATGCACGCACGTTACTCAGCTTCTTCTACGGCGGCCGTAGCATCAACAGGGACAGCATCTCTGGCGAGGTCTACGTTCTTAGCTTGCCTGGGTTCGTCTTCTTCAAGACAGCAGGCTCGTCTGTCCCTCGGGCAGACCACACGTGCGTCGTCGTAGCCGGCGGAGGCCGCCAGATGCTTTCCATTGGCGGGACAGACGGGTCCCTAGGCTTCCCCAAGTCACTGACCAACCCAGACCCCTGGAAGCTTGGGCTGGCCATCTTTGACATGACGGAGTTGCGTTGGTCCGACCGGTACGATTCCCAGGCGCAACCGTACGAGTCGCCGAATGTGGTAAAGCAGTGGTACGCCCAAGGTGAACTAGACTCAGTCGTGTGGACGAGTGAAGAGGTGAGGGCCTTATTTTCTACGCGTAAGTGAGCTTGACATTGTGTTGAAATGTTAAGTGAAAAGAATTGACCAAATAGTAGCGGCGCCCGACAACTCGACCTCGGATCCCTCACCTACAGGAGAATCCAGCGCAACATCGACTGCGCAAGCTTCTCAGTCGTCCAAACCGCCCACTGGTACCATCGTAGGCGCCGCTGTTGGCGGTGTTGCAGGCCTCGTCCTCGTAGCCTGCCTAGCAGTGTTCCTCCTGAGAAGGCAGAAACGATACCAGGCGGCACCACAGCAGGAGGCCGGCAGCGGGCACTTTGAAGCCAAGGGGCCGGCTGGGGCCAATGCGCTCCACGAGGTACATACTGACCACTTCAACCCCGTCGAGTTACCTGCAGAACACGGCGCTGCGGAGCTTAGCTCCGCGCATGGTGTGCATGAACTCGAACAGCCAACGGCAAGACCTTTTCCCAGGTAGGACAGAGAGAACACCGGCAGACGAAGAGTTGAGATCGGCAATTAGGCTTCGTATCTCTCGAACGCGGACATGAGCAATAGAAGGTCACACAATGTAAGAACAGGGACGAGTAATGGTATAACAAACGGAAAACTTTTTGAATTCAGAGTCCCTCCCTCTTCCTCTAGGAGGGGAACTCGATCATGGTATCACCAGGTTTTGTCTAATATTAAGAGAGTTCATCATCATGCGTGTATGTGTGTGTTGGGGGGTGTGTTGTGTTGTTGTCGTCGTCGGTGGTGGTGGTAGTCATCAATCTAAGCCTTGCGCTTCTTGTTGGGGGTGGTCTCGGCGTCGCCCATCTCCTCGTCCTCGTCCTCGTCCTCCTCGTCGTCGGACTCAAAGTCGGCATCGGACAGCTCGCCGGCCTCCTGAGCTTGGGCTATCATTGAGAGTAAGTCTCCGTCTCGTCCTTCTTCGGCAGCGACGGCACCGTCGCGGAGGAACTTACTAAAGTAGTGGAGCGCCTCGGGCCACAAGTCAGTGGCGATGGCGACGGCGACGTCGTCGCCGTCGGGGAAGATCTCGAGCTCGAACTCGGTCTCATCCTCGTCGCCCTCCTCCTCCTCCTCGGCAGTCTTCTTGCCGGCCTTGCGGTCCTCGAACTCCTTGACCTCCTTGGCGAGGGCGGCGGCGCTCTCCTCGGCGGAGATGCGCTTGCCGACGTAGCCGAAGAAGGAGAAGAAGGAGACGCCGCCCATGGCGGTCTCCTCGACCTTCTTGCGGAGGGCCTCGGCCTCCGGGGTGAGCTTGCCGGGGGTGATGGGGCCTTGGTCCCAGACCTTCTTGGCGGCGGAGAGGAGGCCCTCGGTCAGGTCCTTGCCGGCCTTCCACTTGATGTCGACGGGCTCGGAGACGAGGCCGGTGTAGGTGGCGGAGTGGCGGTACCAAAAGGTCTTTTCGACGACGGCGTCCTCAAAGTAGTCGTTCTCGTTGAACTCGAAGCGGATGGTGAGGGAGCGGGGGTCGCCGCCGGAGCCATTCTCAATCTCGGGGCGGGAGACGGAGATGGTCTTGAGGGAGGAGAGGAGTAGGGCGGCGTCGGATGGCTGGATGTGCTCGTCGACCTCGGGGGGCGACTGCTCAAAGACGAGGGCCCAGAAGTTGGGGATCTTGGAGACGACGGCTGCGCGCTTCTCGTACAGAGGCTTGGAAAGCTCGTACTGCTTGCGGACTGGGGAGGGGTGTTAGTTGGGTGAGAAATGAAACGAATGGCAGGAAAAGAGACAGAAAGAAGACGATTCCTGTGTCTTTTCCTCCGGGAGGATGTGAGGGCTTGCCCAAATAGAATCAAAACATACCAATCTCGTTCTCAACGAGCTCGAACTCGCGCTCGAGGTCAGCGAGCTGCTCGTAGGTGACACCAGTCTCAACCATTTCAGTCATTTTGGCGGTGTTGTTTGCGTGTGAGTGAAGGAGTAAGAGGATAAGTGATGAGGTGTGAGAAGCAAGTGAGTAAGTGAGGAGAGTCAAAGAAGGAGGGAAGAGAAATCTCAAGAAGGGTGCTATGAGATTTTTCAACTTTCTTTCGTGGCGGGGTAGTGATTACAGGAGAAAAAAAAAAGTTGGCGGGGTTGTAATTAGCCTGAGTCGCAAAGGATTTGTTCAGAAGCAAAGCTCAGGCGGTGGAGGGGTGGGTGGGCGGCACAAGGGCCAACGATGTCTTAAGTATTAAGTACCAAAGTAAGGTATCCAAGACATGAACCTAGGCTGCTTACCAAATCTATGGTACATATACGAATGAATACTCTAGCATTGTTTGTTTGTTATTCTCTCCTTGAATGGGCATAAAAAAATTATTCTGTTAAAAAGAGGGACCGTGTGGTTCTGAATACGTGGGGGAAAGAGGAGCGAGGGGAGGGGTGAATGGGCCACAGCAGAGAGGCAACCGTAACGCCAGGAACAAACAGACAAGGGAAAAGTGAATGAAGAAATTTTTCAAACAGGTTCGCCTGCATCTCTCTCTCTCTCGTCACCTTGTCACCTCGTGTGTGTGCTTGTGCTCTTTGGGTTCCTGTGACGCCAGCTCTCAAGGATGGAGGACAAAAGCTGCAATCTTGACTGGCTATTGCGCATTTGGGCGGCGGTGACTGATGTCATTGGATCGTGTCCCCACGTCCCTGTTGATCTCGAACTTTTTGGAAATCCCAGACGTATCCAATTGGCGCCAGACGGAGCATTTTTGGCGGGCCCATTGGACACTTGCGTTGTGCATGGTGATTTTTTTTTTCTTCGTTTGCTGTCAGTCCTTCTTGACTCTTTGCGATCCAAACTCAATTGGGAATGTCTCTAGAGTAAGCTATCGCCAAGAACACAACTCAAGCGTGCCTTGAACGTGCTTACCGCTAACAGAGCCACATGGTACTGTAGTGTCTCCCCCTCGGCATTCTCAGATCATCGTGTTAAGCTCCCGCTCAACGCTGAAGACTGAAAAGCTAGACCCAATGGAAAAGGGTCCTCCTCCCTCTTCTTACCCAGTCGAAGAGCACCGTGCCTGGACCCCTAGCGGGGTCTCACCCGCAATGGGACCTCTCCAAACAACGATCTTCCATGAAAGTTCACCTACTGGACCTCATCAGCGAAAATTCTGAATCTGAAGAAAAAAAGAGACAGAAGACCAGAACAACAACAATAACCCCTCCCCCCACTCACATGGCAATTTCGAGCTTGGTTGCTTCTAGATCATCAATTTTTCTTCACGACTATCCACATTCTGCTTTCGTGTCACCGCCCTACCCAGGCTAAGAGGCGGCAATTGCCCGTGTCCCCGCTACTGTAACTGGGAAGTCGCTGTTCCAGCAAAATGGTTAATTCATGCGTTCTTATTGTCTACTTTTGTCGTTAGCCGCGCTTCTCTTCATTGCGCGCTCTTCCAGCTTCTGTTGCTTCTTCTTCTATGTTCTCTTATGGAGTTATGACAAACAGCGACCCACTGAGGGGGTCCGATCTCTCTCTCTCTCTCTCTCTCTCTCTCTCTCTCTCTCTCTCTCTCTCTCTCTCTCGTTGCCCCTCGCTGCCATCGCATCTTGCCCCTGCTCTGCGAGTTCCTCTATTCAGGCCAGTTGCTGGAGAGCGAGTGAGAGAGAGAATCTGTTGCTCATTTGCCAGTCTAGATGATGAGTCGCAATGGGACGAAAGTAGTGTGAAGGAAGCTCTTCTTTCGTGTCCTTCGGCAAGGCTAGCATCACCACGCACACGACATGGAGTAAACTGCACGGCCTAGTTTACGCAGCAAAAAGAAAAAAAATCCATCTAACTGACGGAATGTCACCGTAAAACCGAAAGCAAAATTTTGTTCACCCCTTACTCTCGCTGGCATCATCCCAACAGCTCCCAACCGTTGCTAGGAGACAAAACGTTCAGTGACATGACATGCTCAAGGGGCTCCCCCTCCCCCAAAAGAGAAATCCGAGATGGCCTGCCTCCGCCATACCCAGTAGTACTTTGAACTAGATTTACATGTGAGGACTCTTATTTCCGGGGTTCCATTTTCCCTCATCTCGGGGCCGGGTACACTCTTCCAAAGAAAAGTCGAGTGCCAAAAAAAAAAAAAAAATTCACTGCAAAAAACTTTTGAAAACGCAGCTGTCATGCCAGTCCACAACAAAACGCGGAGCGCCTTCTCCGCCCAGCCCGGTACGTTCACAGAAGAAAGTGGATACCAGTCTCCGGCCATCGGGCCCGAGAAGGGTCCACACGAAACCGGGCCGGGCGGGCAGGACTCAGATAGTATACTTGCCTTACCGCCTGTCAACTTCTCAGCCACGGGAGTCCGTGCTTGTTGTACTTACGTATGCGTGGTCCGTGAATGACGACGGGTGCCCGGTATAAGTCTACATGCCTTCAGATTCTATCTGCCATGCGCTGATACACATCATATCTCTGTATAAAAGCTTTACATGCATTCATTCACAATTATAGTCTGAATCAATGTGGAAACCAGCCAAATTTGTCTCTCTTATGCATGCCATAGTGCCGCGTCATCGTCTTGATTAACCAACAGGTTGACTATTATTGCTTGCGCAGTCCAAGTTTTCGTTCGTCTCTTTTGTTTTTTGTTCTCTCCCTCTCTCCCTCTCTCCCTCTCTCTCTCTTGCTCTCTTGTGACCATGGCTCCTCTTAAATGCAGCGCTTTCGCTTCCTTGCTTACTTGAAACCCACGGCCTTGACAGCCCCGGTGCTCTTCCTTCCTCATGACAATGACAACGCTTTGATACTCCCATAAATCATCAGATCATATGACTTTTTGTCGTAGTTGTGTGGTACGGTGGCTGAGAAGAGATCCAGAAACGGCCCAATGACCACTTGTGTCTTGCACATTGCCGGGGGTATATCCAATACAAAAATCAAACGCAAATATGACCAGTTCAATGTCTCCCCCAAGACTCGCTCGTTCTAGCTTCACCATCCTTAATTTCTCTTCTCTTCTCGGGCAGTGGCCTACCACGTGATATGGGTAACACGAGACCGCATGTCTGGCATGCCGGTGATGATGCCGCGAGTACCGACCTGGAGGTTGGCAAATCTAGCCCTCAGGTCAAAGTCCACCGCCCGAACCATGACGCGCTTCTCTTCGGGGACAGATCGCTTCGATTTGATCAGTCCAGGAATCGCACTATTCCTTCGAGCATCCCAACGGGCGTTGCCGCCAGGTCCCAGCGGAATGTCTTCGCCAAAGTCCACTGATCCGTGTCTTCCGTTGGCGCCGGCTTGAGAGGCACGCGCGTCGGGAGACGGTGAAGACAAAGGCTCTTCCTCCTCAATCGTGGCAACCCACTGTCCAATTCGCGCTGTGAGCTCGCTGTCCCACATGCCTTCTCGCCGCGCGCTGCTTCTCAAAAGCTGGATGGCCTGTCGCCGGATGACGGAATGCCTGCACTTGGTGGCAACCACAAACAAGGGTGGGACGATGCCCAGGTCGGCACTGAAGCTCGGCTTGATGTGGAAAGTATTGTACTCGT